CTTTTCGAACTGGAGTCACGGACGTATGAATACGCCACTGTCGTGATCATAGACAACTATCTCTCTCCACCCTGACCAGTAGGTTTCCACTCTAGCCCTGGAAGAGAAGAGATGCATTATGTTTAAGACTCGTCCTAATTCACAAATCGCCCATAGGTAGGTTTCCACTCCTATGTTTGTTTTGCTCTCCCAAACTAGATCTGATACCGGATGAACACTTTCGTGTCACCAAGCATCTGGATCAGATTGTAGTTCATGACGCTACTCTCATGCAGTAAAAACGAATTCAGAAGAAAAAGTTCTAAGATTCGGCTCAAAAGCTCATGGAATCCTCATCGAACGTATAAATCCCCATCAAAAATCCCTTAATCCCAACAATAAAACTACTCAGACATAATGAACGAAATCAAAGACATAATATTAAGAAGTAGAGTAAAAACCGAAATTGAAAAAGAAAGAACAAGGGTTCAAGAGAACAAATCTCTCTCTCCCTAAAAGCTAAAGCAAAAACAATAAAAGTATGAAGTAATGATAGATGGTGATCCGTTACACTTCGTTTAGGGTTTCTAAAACATGTATTTATAGTGCTCAAGACCTCTCTGGACGTCACTTAGGGTTTCTCCAAATGTGGGATTCAGAAATGGGCTTTTTGGGCTCGGAGGTTGATGGCCGCGGTCAGGACAAGTGTGACAGCGGGGAATGAGTGTTTTGCCGCGGTCGGGATGCTCCTGACCGCAGGAAATTGCTTGTTGGCCGCGGGTGGAAGTGCTTGCCGGCTGGTTTACGGGACATCTTTCTCTTCGCGTATCTTTTGATTGAACCGTTGGATTGCCAAGCTGTAAAGTGCACTGGAAAGCTGATACTTCCATCTTTAAGGTCTCCAAATTTAAGCTGTATCAGACGGTGAGAAGGCCTTCAATCAGGGGTGAACTTCTGTCGGTTTGAGTCTGAGCTGAAATCTGGTTTTCTATCCATTTTGTTAAGCTTTTCCCTAAGTTACCTGAAAAGAGTCTTGGAACTACAAATACTAGAAAAACGTGATAAAAATACTTAAAAGCAATTAAAAACATAGAAAAAGTATTTCAAAACGATCCATAAAAGTGGTCAAAATATGGTGTTATCAACAATGTTGTTCAAGTCTGGGGGAGGTAGCCGCTGACATTGTGTCTGTTTTTCTTAAGAGTCAGTCGTGTCAAATTGTTTTTGAGTCAAAACTTGTTGGAGATTATGATGCTTTTCCTGGAATTATTGTGCTGATCTTTCATCTAAGTGACAATTGCTGTAGAATCAGTTTAGGTCCGACTAATGAAAAATCCAAAGGCTTACCAGTTGACTAGATACGTCCATGTTTCCAACAAAGTCCACTAACCTGAGCTAATTTCTGAACTCTTTCTTTTACCTCATCGATGTGACTGATGTTCATAGAGCTTGTTTCCTCGTTCATACTTGACAAATGAAAGCCTTCGTGAAATCTAATGTTGGTGCTTCTCTCCCTTACGACAAGTTAAAAAGAAGAAAGAAAGAAAAGGGCAAAAAGATTGAGATGATTTTTTATGAGGAGTGAAGGGCTAGGAAAATTTCCAAGGATCCCATTATTTTACTTCTACGTAGGAATGATCACACAAAGGAAGGAAGCGAGGGGTAGGAAAGTTTCCTATGACCCCACTATTCGCTGAAAACCTTTGATACAAGGTAAGGGGACAAATCAGGGATTCGATGGCAAACACAGTACTCGCAGCTTTAACCTTATCGAGTATATGCCATAAAAAAGAATGATGAGTGTGGGAAAAGAATAAGTCTAGGGGAGAGAAAAAGTTCCAAAGGATTATATGGCTGATTTGTCAAAGTATAGTACGGGAAAAAATCTAGAAGGTTCTTGGCATTGGAATCATCAGTGAGACCCAGCGATGAGGGTTTATGGACAATGTTGTGGAATTTTGGACTTAATCTGGGAAGCTGTGAATGTCTGCGGAGAAGTACATGGTGGTTTGATTGAGAATGATGAACCAGCATTTGAATTACGGGGTGATTGGTCAAAGCGATATTCCTTTGAAAAGTTGAATCTCTGTGTTTTTTGCTTAAGGGCAAGTAAATGCTAAGTCTGGGGAAGTTGATATATAGTGGTTTTTGACCATAATATAAGTATTATTTATAGAGTATTTCTAGTGTTTTTCAAATCTTTTGGAGTCTTTATAGGTCCTAGGTACGTTTGGAGCTTAATTGCTGAATTTGGAGCACTTTGGAGCTAAATCAGGATCAAATTCGCAAATGATAAATCATGTGCATTGGTGTCGCTCGACATCATGGAGAGTGACGCTCGACGCTTGTCAAGGAAATAAGGAAAACGCGATTTTGTCTCCTATTCGAAGAAGGAGTTGGGCCCAGAAAGTTACAAAGAAGCCCAATACGTGTTTTTAAGATATAAATAGGGTTTTTAGTCTCTTTTCATCGACACCTTAGATTCTCGAATAGGACATCTTTTGCTTTAGGCTTTTCGTGATTTTGAGAGCTTGGGGAGACAAGTCTGAACTCTGTTCGTTTAGAGAGAAGATTTGAACCCCTTTATTTATTATATTTATATTATTTTTGTAATCTATTCAATCATGTTTATTGTTTCGATATTCATGTCTGAGTAGTTAGCTTGTTAGGTATAAGGTTCTCATTAAGATTTTCACTGGATGTTTGATTTATTGATTTATAATCTGATTTGTTCGTCACCATAGGTTGTTCTTAAAGCTAATTCTGGACTGATCACCTAGAATTTAGACCTTAGGTTGCTTAGTTGACACAGAAGTATAATTGAATAACTGGAAAGAACCTAGGGTGAGTAAAGTAGCTATTCGCAAAGGAATTTGGTTTAGATGCTTTGTGAACATATCGAACTTGAGCATTAAAGCTAGTTTAAATCTTTAGGATTTGCATAGGAATTTGGAATTTTAGGATTTCAACTTAGATAATTTTCACAACGGAAATTGGTTAATTATAATTTTGTGATTTGAGTTCAAGAACTGTGCTTAACCCTGAACTCTAACTAATCGATTGATCTGCATTCATTGATTTCCTGAGAAACGCCCGAAGCCTAATTTCCATCCATTCGAGTTTAACAAACGCTTTACTGTTTTCTTACTGCTTCGTTACTTTCATTCGCATTATTTTACTTAGCGTAATTTGAATTCTAATAGGTTTATTGGGTGAATTTCTCGTCTCTGTGGTTTGACTCCTAAAATACTGCAACTGCACATCTATGCTCTTGCAGAATAACTTAAAGATTAAATTTGAGCAGATCAGACTCTTATGTCATGGGAACCGTGTCTCAACTCCTACTAAATCAGGTTTTAGCCTTCATGGATCCTAGCACCTGGGCTCTTTGCACTTTAAGGCATGAAAGCCTTTAAAATTAGTTAAACCCTCATATGAGTGAAAGCGACTTCACTCTGCACTTAGGGAAATAAAGTTGCACGAAAGATATGTGAAAGGCTACGCCTGATCCACTGCAACATGTATACTTTATACATCATTTGGCACCTCGTGATAAATTATCGGCACATGTTAAACAAGACAAGAAAAGTATATGAAAAAACATTATCTTTCTAATGTATATGCAATTTCCATTGGGCTTTAACCACTCTCTAAACATTTAGCCTTTTTGACCTTTGGATCTAGTTTCACCCTTTTTTCTGCCATTCTCGGCCATCTCATCACCATAAAAACCTTTTTTTTGCTATTTCTTCCACTAAATGCCCGCCAAAACAGCGCATATCGATTTTTTCTTTTGGACCCGCTATCACGTAACAACTCTTTCTCTGTTTTTTTTTCCCTGATGCATCATACAAACAGTCTTTCTTTTTTTTTTTGTGTTTTATTTCTCAAAAAGCCCTTTGTCTTTCTTGACTTCCCCGATATATTTTTGTTTAGGAAGCTTATCCTGTAAAGGACAAAATTTCCTGCAACAAAAAAATTCAAATTCCTTTGATTTTTATAGTTCACTAGAAAGCTATGAAAGTGGCTTATCTTCCAAAATATATAAAGTAAAATTAAAGAATACAGCCTTCTTACTTCAAACTGATAAATCTAGATTCAATGTAAGAACTTAAATATATAAACCTTTCGGATTAATGGACCACGAAGATATTGTTCAACCAAAAACTTTGGAACCTTGGTAGCCTAAGTACATACACTCTTAGATCTCTTTGAATCAGTAAAATGTTTCACTCTCTTTTACTTTAATTTTATCTATAACTAGCTATAAGGTTGTTTGAAACTTCTGGCAATGGCTACATCATTTTATTAGAAAGCATTCTACGTTTGGAACGTCATCTATAAGCTATTCATTTATTTTGGCAATGCAAAGTAAATATATAAATCAATGGAAAATATTCCGACCAAAAAAAAAAATCAATGGAAAATATTTTTTCCATCTAGCTTTGAAACTGATGGTCGTTTACCTCCTTCAAAAACCAACTATTTCAGTTGAAGAGATAAATTCAATCCTGAAAATCCATTGGCTTACCCTTCTTTTCCAACAATCTCCTTCCAAACTCTGCTTCTCGTTGGCTCACCCTCCCTCTCCAACAAGTTCCTTTCAGATTTCCAATTATAACATCGTTTAAGGGAGAAGGAAACTGATGCAGCGGAAGTAAGCTGCCTTAGATGTTGAACTAAGCTTGAACAAAGCTTGAGAAACAAGTTTTCCTAAAAGGATTAGGAAATATAGTATATTTAGGAGATATCTAAATATACCTTAGGAGTTATCTATAAGGAGTTTTCTATTTCTATAAGGTTTAGGAATTTGTAAGTTTTCTCCTCTATATATATGAAGTTACCAAAGTGTGGTAGACTCATGAGATTATAGAGAAAGCTTAGAGGCTTTAAGTTTTGAGTGAGTTTCTTAAAGCAATAAAAGGTGTTTTGGCAATCTTATATTCTCAAAGAAGTTAGGGTTTAAAGGCTTTATTTGGTATCAGAGCTTGTGAGAAGAACGATCCAATCCAGTATCGAAGATGAAGATAATCAAACACCAAACCATTGGAGATATCGTTCCTGCTACGCGAGCAAAGGAGATCAATGTATCATCGATTCAATGTCCGATGTTGAATTCGACTAACTATACTGTGTGGGCGATGAGAATGAGGGTTCTTCTCAAAGTTCACAAAGTCTGGGAAGTCATCGAGACAGAAACAGGTGAAGGATATAAAAACGACTTGGCTATGGGACTCATCTTTGAGTCCATACCCGAGACATTGGTTTTACAAGTTGGAGAACTTAACTCTGCATATAAGGTTTGGAACGCTATTAAAGGACGACACGTCGGAGCAGAGAGAGTCAGAGAAGCACGACTACAAACCTTAATGGCAGAGTTCGATCGTTTAAAGATGAAGGATACAGAGACCATTGATGATTTCAGTGGAAAACTTTCGGACATCTGTTCAAAATCAGCAGCACTAGGAACCAACATCGAAGAGTCGAAGCTAGTCAAAAAGTTCCTTAAGAGCATACCTCGGAAGAAGTATATACACATCGTGGCATCACTAGAACAGGTGATTGACTTAAACACAACAAGCTTTGAGGATATTGTTGGGCGTTTAAAAGCATATGAAGAACGTATATACGAGGAAGCCGAGGAAACTCAAGAAGAACAGAGCAAGTTGATGTATGCAAATACAGAAACTCAGCAAAACCGATGTCAGAATAATGAAAATAGAAGCAGAGGTCGAGGAGGACGTTTCTATAACAGAGGAAGAGGACGCGGAAGATCGTATGAAAGATCGTATGAACCAAGAGATTTGTCAAAAGTTGTTTGCTATCGGTGTGACAAGACAGGACATTATGCTTCGAGCTGCCCAGATTGTCTACTTAAACTTCATGAAACACAAGAGAACGAAAAAGAAGACGATACACAAATGGCGGAATCTCTTCTAATGCACAAAATTGTGTATCTTAACGAAAGGAATGTGAAACCAAAGGAGTTTGAGACACGATGCGACAGAGAGTGGTATTTAGACAACGGTGCCAGTAACCATATGACAGGAAATCGAACCTGGCTTACAAAAATCAACGAGATGATCACAGTGAAAGTACGATTCGGAGATGATTCACGTATTGACATCAAAGGAAAGGGTTCGATCCTGTTCATGACAAAAAAACGGTGATAAGAAGATACTAGCTGATGTCTATTATATACCAAATCTTAAGAGCAATATAATAAGCCTAGGACAGGCTACTGAAGCAGGATGTGATGTGAGGATGAGAGAAGACTATCTCACATTACATGATCGAGAAGGAAATTTGCTGGTGAAAGCAATCCGATCGAAGAATAGATTGTACAAAGTGGCGTTAGAGGTTGAGAACACTAAGTGTCTGCAGATCATGGCATCTAATGACTCAAGGTGGCATGCCCGTCTAGGACATATCAGCACAGAAACCATCCAGTCTATGGTAGCAAAGGAACTAGTTATCGGGATAACTAATGCTCCAAAAGAAAAGGATATCTGCGCATCATGTCTACTTGGGAAGCAAGTAAGGAAATCCTTCCCAAAACAAGCAACATATCGAGCAACAAAGGTTTTATAACTCATTCATGGTGATCTCTGCGAACCAATCTCGCCCCCAACAGCTGCAAAAAGGAGGTACATATTTGTCTTAATCGACGACTTCTCACGATATATGTGGTCGGTATTACTAAAGGAGAAGAGCGAAGCATTTGAGAAGTTCAAAGCATTCAAAACTGCGGTTGAACTAGAAGCTGGAACAAGTATCAAGACATTCAGAACAGACAGGAGGGGAGTTCATGTCTCAGGAGTTCCAAACATACTGTGAAGAAGAAGGTATCAACAGACACCTAACTGCACCGTACACGCCCCAGCAGAATGACATCGTCGAAAGGCGTAATAGGACCCTCTTAGAGATGACCAGAAGTATGTTAAAGCATATGAACATGCCTAACTACTTGTGGGGAGAAGCGGTGAGACACTCAACATATCTCATAAACAGAGTCGAGACCAGATTGTTGCGAAATCAAATGCCGTATGAAGCTTTCAAACGCAGAAAACCGAATGTGGAGCACCTACGAGTAATTGGCTGCGTGAGTTATGCAAAGATCGAAGGTACATACCTGAAAAAGTTAGACGACAAGTCGCAGATGTTAGTCTATCTAGGAACAGAACCCGGATCTAAAGCTTATCGCCTTCTCGAGCCTACAAAGCGCAGGATTGTAGTTAACAGAGATGTCATGTTCGATGAGAATAAGAGTTGGAAGTGGAGCAACTCAGATGCAGATTTCCAGAATGAAACAGGGACGTTCACAATTAACTTTGGAGAAAATGTGAACACGAGAACAGAGGAAGAAGAATCTATCGAAGAAGCAGAATAGAATGAAGGAGATAATAGTAACGATAGAGACGAGCTTGACGAAACAGAGAATACAAAGCAAGAAGAAGCACAACCCGTTTTAAGGAGATCAACAAGAACAGTCATAAAACCGCGACACTTGGAGGATTTCGTAATGTTGGCACAGATAGAAGGAGAGTATCTCTTGTTAACAGTTAATGACGAGCCTTGGGATTTCAAAGAGGCAATCATGTTGAAAGAATGGAAAGATGCCTGTGATGAAGAGATCTCCTCGATAAACAAAAACAGAACATGGAGCCTTGTTGATCTTCCCACCGGATGCAAAGCGATTGGTCTTAAACGGGTATTTAAGATCAAAAGAAATTCTGATGGGAGCATAAATAAGTACAAAGCCAGGTTAGTAGCAAAAGGCTATATACAGAAACATGGTGTAGACTTTGACGAGGTATTTGCTCCGGTGGCAAGAATAGAAACAGTGAGATTCATTCTTGCTCTAGCTGCTTCAAACGGTTGGGAAGTACATCATTTAGATGTAAAGACGGCGTTTCTACACGGGGAATTGAAGGAAGATGTTTATGTCACACAACCTGAAGGTTTTCGAATCAGTGGACAAGAAGAGAAGGTTTACAAGTTGCATAAAGCCCTTTATGGACTTAGGCAGGCACCGCGCGCATGGAACACCAAACTTAACAAGATCTTAAGTGAGTTAGGCTTCAAGAAGTGTTCAAAAGAGCCCTCTCTTTACTGACAACAAGAGAAGGACCATCTCCTTATCGTAGCTGTATATGTGGACAATCTGCTAGTCACCGGTTCAAGCCTGGACTTAATCCTCAATTTCAAAAGGAATATGGCAGGCAAATTTGAAATGAGTGATCTAGGGAAGCTCACCTACTACTTAGGAATCGAGGTTTTCCAAGGAAGGAATGGGATCATATTAAAACAAGAAAGATATGCGAAGAAGATCTTGGAAGAAGCTGGAATGGGCGAATGTAACTCATGTCATGTACCGATGGATTCTGGTGTGAAATTCTACAAAGCACAAGAAGCAAACCGTGTTGACGAGCATGAATAAAGAAGGAATATTGGATGCTTCAGATATCTTTTACACACTCGATTAGATTTGTCCTTTGCAATTGGAGTATTGAGTCGATATATGCAAGAGCCAAGGGAATCACATAGAGCCGCATTAAAACAGGTTCTGAGGTACCTACAAGGAACAATATCTCATGGTCTTTACTTCAAACGTGGAGGCAATGCTGGTCTAGTAGGCTACAGTGACAGTAGTCACAATGTAGACTTGGACGACGGGAAAAGTACAGAAGGTCATGCATTTTATCTCAATGAATGTCCAATCTCATGGTGCTCACAGAAGCAGGAAGTAGTGGCATTATCTTCCTGTGAAGCCGAATTTATGGCAGCAACTGAAGCAGCCAAACAAGCTATTTGGCTCCAAGAACTATTTGCAGCAGTTATTGGAACAAGGTATGAGAAGGTGACAGTTCGAGTGGACAACAAATCGGCGATTGCTCTTTCTAAAAACCCAGTGTTTCACGGACGCAGCAAGCACATTCATCGAAGGTATCATTTCATACGTGAATGTGTTGAGAATGATCAGATCAAAGTTGAGCATGTCCCCAGGAGTGAACAAAGAGCCGATATCTTGACCAAGGCTTTAGGAAGAAATAAGTTCAAAGAGGTGAGGGAGCTTATTGGAGTGCAAGGAGTGTCACAAGAAGATTTCAAGCTTAGAGGGAAGATTATTGAACTAAGCTTGAACAAAGCTTGAGAAACAAGTTTTCCTAAAAGGATTAGGAAATATAGTATATTTAGGAGATATTTAAATATACCTTAGGAGTTATCTATAAGGAGTTTTCTATTTCTATAAGGTTTAGGAATTTGTAAGTTTTCTCCCCTATATATATGAAGTTACCAAAGTGTGGTAGACTCATGAGATTATAGAGAGAGCTTAGAGGCTTTAAGTTTTGAGTGAGTTTCTTAAAGCAATAAAAGGTGTTTTGGCAATCTTATATTCTCAAAGATGTTAGGGTTTAAAGGCTTTATTAGATGCAGACATGCAGTATTACAAATTAAACGAGTTGAAAATGCAGAATGGTTTTCCTCTGATTAGGCTATGATATGTTGTTCAAGCGATGTCATGTAAATTTTTGTGGTAACAAAATACAAATGTTTCCTCATGACGTACAGCTTAAACAACATATCATAGCTTAATCATAACTTGAACATCACGAACTTACAAATGATTCTGGAAGGGAAATCTTTTAGACTCAAGTATTCATGTGTTGGTGTTGTCAACCGCTCCCAAGCAGATTTATGAAGAATGTATACATGATTTGGCTTGGAGTAAGGGTAGAGAGTAATCATTTAGTACTAGAGAGTATACACCCCTTACTCATATTTTGGTTTCGAGCATTTGGCAAAGATGCTTTGAAAGTTAAGTTCTCTTACGAAGATAAATGTTTTCTTCACTGGTACGTTGCATTTTAGAAGTTGTTAGTGATAATGTGATGAGAGATTTAGAATTGGAACTTGGAAGAAGTTGTATTGACTCTCTTATCTTTTTCAATATACATAGGAGACATATCTACAAGATAGACATAATCCTTTAATTACAAGAGCATATTATAGTAGTAATGATAGGAGAAATCATAGGGATTGAGTAATTGATTTGAGTGCTACTCTTTTATTCTATAGTTAGGACTGGTATATACGAGTTTTTTTAGAATAGTAAGACTCCAAGATAAGTGTTTTTACACGCATTCGTGCTAATTTATTTAGGAGATGAATACATCGATAAAATAGATATAAAAATATAAGTATCAATAACGGAAGCACTGAGTTTTATCATGCTGTGTATAATTACGAGGTTTAGCGAAAAATTGCTAACCCAACACACAATTCGCATTAGAAACAGAAAGAATATGGAGAAAGAAAATAACAGACTTAATCATTGTTAGCGAATAAGACTTTACTTTGTAAAGCATCGTCAAATTCACTTCTCATGTTTTGTCATTCTTAACATATGACGCATATATTTGCATATGTAATAATTTGTTTTTCGGAAGTTTTCTATATTAATTTTGTAATCGTATGTTGATATTAATGAAATTATTTGCCGAAAAAAAAAATATAAGTATCAATAAAAAACTTACTAGAAAAATAAATAGATGTGCACAAATTTAATATAATTTAGGCTTAATAATAAAAAATCAAACCACAATTATATTTCACGGTAAATACTGATCAGAACAATGTTCAAAGAAATTCAAATTTAGTTATGTTCCTCTTTCCATTTAGCAGGAGTTTTGTGGCAGTTCAAGAACCGTTTCTTTGTATACAACTATCAGCTGTTGTCATTGAAATAGAGCACAACTGCAAAATTTTTGTTGAGAATTGTGAGAATAGAAACAAGAAAAAATAACAAAAGCTAAAAAGCACATTGAGACAAATATACGTGTTTAGGAATTTTATTATTTTTGTGTGAATGAATAATACAAAACCTTAAAAATCATATTTATAATGCCACATAACTCAATTTTATTAGGAATAGGAAAGGGAAAATTTTCCATCTTAGGGCCTGACTGGTTTAAGCAGAGGTGGGTGATTGCGGTTCGAGCATTATTTAGTGATTTGTATGACTGGTTTAACTGTTGAAAATGAGTCCGTTTGTAAACATTTTTGATTGGCTAAACAGTGGATATATTAGTGGTTAAACATAAAACTATCAAAAAATATAATATATAATTATAAAAAACACAAAAATATATTATCATAATAAATATCAAAATCACTAATTGAAAATAATCAATAATAAATAAATCATAAATAAATATTGAATAATTATTCAAAAACTAATAAATTTATAATGACATGTTTTAGTTCAATTGTTGGGAACATCACCCAAAATTGTGTCTAGTAATGTAACAAACTATAACAAAAAGTTGCTCTAATACGTGGATCTCTAGGATTTGTCATATGCATGATATAATTTTTTTTCAATAGATCCAATTTCTCCAAAATATTTGGCATTTACGCTTATGTCTTGACTTTCTTCAACAGGTATGGAAGACATGATTAAGATACGAAGAGTAGAACTTGATAGAAAAAGTAGTAGGGTTAGAGTTTATATATATAGGAGACAATACAGTATGATTAGAGTTTCATAAATTTTTTGTATCGTGATCTTTTTTTTTTCTTTTTCCCTAGCGTGGCTTTTATTTTTTACCCACCCACTGCCGCAACCGCAAACGCTTGTGGGAAGCAGCTTTTAGATTTCAACAGTACAAAACGATACATAGCAGTTTGAAGCAATTTCTATGATTGTTATAAAACATCACTAACTGCTACCAACAAAAAATGTAGCGTTCTTGGGTGATAACAGGTGAACCAATCAACATCTTAATAGGATTCCGTACCGCAAGACAGCAGAAGGTTCTCCCTCTGAACCCTTTCCCCATGAGAAAAAACATATTTGAGTCTGGTCCATGACTTTACTCCTATGCTAAGCCCTTTTTGAGCATGCCCTTACACTCTCAAGAAAGACCGCACTGCAATACATTTCAGATTTTAAGTCACCTAAAAACCACAGGTTTTCTAACTGGCATCCCCAACAAACGACTAAGTCTGAAATTCCATGCGTCCAATCGCTACTTATAAGGCTGGAAACTGAACCAAGTTGTCGTGGAAAGCCTGTTCCAGATGATGCAAGAGTAAGGTTGTCTATTCTTTTGTTTTTTGAATGTATTCTTAGTAAATGAAGATTTAATTACTGCTTGGCGCAAGGAAAGTTGTACCAATTAATTGAAATATACCTCCCCCCTGTTGATATATAATGTCACACAAAGGGTAAAAAAGTGAATTTCGAATCAAAAGTCTCGTTTATTGAGAAGATAGTTCGGAAAAATACAATTTGAGATAAGGTCGTCAGTTTCCGACGACCTAGTTAACAAAGGGAGAACTCGAAACAAAATGACGATCTTAAAGCTCTTTACTTCTGAGGTCTCT